GTCATTTACTCGCAGTAAACAAACCGTTTTGTGTTTCCAGCAAACCCAAGGCAATCAAGTTTAAAATCAGCTGAGCTCCATCACCGTCCAGTTCCTCTTAAACTTTTCCAAATCTCCAGGAACCGTCATGAAACATCTACCTGCTGCTCTACAATCAAACCGGAAACTTTCCCTGTTTTAATGGCAGATTGTTTTTTGGAGTGGTTATTTAGGATAACACTTTATGTTAAACCGATTTCTAAAGCAGTGGAAAACTCCAGCACATCAATGAAATGTGTCCCTGTGTATTTTGGTGCTAAACATACAGAACAAACATTTACAGAGAGGACCTTATTTAGAGTGGCAACCACAGGGACTGGAACCAGCAGCTGTGAGGCTGACAGACACTCTGGAGATGTAACATGTCTCAGTTAGCTGCGGCTCTACTTAGCAAACACTTGGATTTTTTTTGAAGGATCATCAAAGACGGATCATCTTTAGTTTTTTCCATTTGCTGCAACCAGTAAGGAAGAAAACAAGAAACACATTTTAGAAATCATAACATTGGATGAAAGGAGGGTCTATTGTGCCATAGATGGACTCAGAAACCTGTATCTGTTGCAGACAGCTGATATTTCTAGCTGCTCAATTATGAAGTCAGAATTCTGTTAAAAGGGGTCATGCACAATTAATACTAATACAAGCATTAAAAAAACAACAAGCTACTCCCCATTCACATTTGAAACCTTTTACACCTCCAGATTTGGTACCACTAGACTCCAATATGTCACCTCAGAGTCAATATTCCTTCCTTGAGCCCATGGCTTGCTGTTGCAGACTGTCCACTCTACGTATGCATACATATATCTATAAAGCCTATTTTCCACTGAGTTTAGCGCATTTCACACATGTTTTTGAAACATGGGTCGACCCGCTAACAATCGGCATTTGGCTTCCTTCCTATTGGCTGGGTGTAGCCCCTCGCTGGCAGCTGCGTGGACTCTGTGCCCCCTGTCGCTGTGTGTCTGGTGACGCCATCACGCTGGGTTAGCATTGATGACGTCACCAGTACGACAAAAAATCACTTAAGTAAACAATGTAGAGCAACATGTAAGGAAGCCACAGCGTAGTCAGTGAGCTTTATTGTTTTGCTCAATTATCCGTCCGAATCCCTCTCACCAGAGCTGCTCCACGTTTATCGAATGTAAAAAGAATTGTTTCATTTTATTAGGTCAGAAGCAACTGGCACGGTGTGTTGACATCTTGTGTTGTTAAATGGTGTCATGTAAACCGATCAGAGCCGAGGCAATTTTAACAAGGGTCGTTTGACCTGTGTTGACACGTGTCAGTGAGCTGTTCCCACTGCCACTAATAGCCCATCGTTCCCGGGTTTAAAACGTTTTTTTTCAGCCAATGGGAAATTGATTGATTGATTGATTGATTCTATTGATCTCACAGTTGAGAAATGTACTTGTTACATCCGCTCAAATAGTCGAAGAAGAAGAAGAAGGTGCCAAAGGAAGAAAAAGGTGCATTGGATATATACAGTATATACAGTGTGTCCACATATGATAGCAACAGCAATTTGGGGGGGGGGGGATAAGTATCTGTATAGCTGTAGATTTAAATAGCTCCATATATACTGCTCATCACTTCTGGCCTTGTTTTATTTAAGGCCTTAGAATGACCATGTCGACTCTTTAGCTGCTAATAACAGAAAAAACTGGCAATACTATACATGAACACATAGAACAAAATCTACGCTTGTTGATTTCAACTGTAATCAACCAAAGAATTCAGACTGAAACACAATGTGTACTTATGTTTATTAAGACCAAATAAAAGACATTTCACCTGAAAAATATATTATACCATGTCCTCAAACCATTTCCTTTACCCAATGCCTTTTTCTCGTCTTCTTCTCTGATATATTGAGCCAACAGTCTTTTTCCATTGCATGTGCTTCGCCCACCATGTTTGTTTACGACAGACTCAAGTTCGATCTTGAGAGGTTTGGCGAGATTTCTGGGGGACAGTTAAAAGTCTCTCAATTGGTCTCTGTACAACCTTTGCATGTGTTTTTGTTTTATCTATTGTTTGTATTTCCAGCACATTTGCATGTCTAGATCTAAGGGCTTCCATAAAAGGACATAATAGGAGTGTCTGACTTTTATTTCAATTATTTTAAAAAGAACCCCAGGTGAATTTGGGTGTTATGTTAAGGAATTAAGAGAAAAAATATTGTTTAAGGAGATCAGCAGAGGTTTCAGTGTCTTGGATGGACGTCATGGATGCTTCATTCTTTACCAACACACTGTAGCCCTCACTGCCTTGTTTGTGTTTGGGTCTTCACATCCAGCATGGTTATTTTCTCTGGCCTGACCTTGTGGTTGCTGGAACCAAGTGTGTCCTGAAAAAAGGAGAATGGAATGAGTTGTGTAGAAATTACACTTCTGCTCTATTATGGACCACATGGCACAAGATGAAAACTCACTGAAGCACTTTAAAAGGGGAGGGGACGACCCATAGCAGGGGCAACAAAGAAGAACAGACTGAGCCTAACTCAGCATTTAGATAATCCCTGTAGAGATCAGATATAGTTTGTAAAAATAAAAGAAAATCTTTTTCATCTTTTACGCTTCTCATGTTTACTCCGTTATGTAAGAGTCAATGCCACAGGTGCACATTGTCTACAAGCAGGTCCAGCTGAGCCGGTAATTCTAAGGGAATTAAATAACTGCTTCTTGTTTTCTGTGCCTAATTTGAAAAAACAAAAACAACAAAACAAATAAATGGCAACTTATATGACAATTTATGTTTGCAATAACTTGGAAGGCAAAGAAAAGCTTTATTAATGCTATTATTTCTGACGCGTGGATTTGAAGTACTGTGAACAATAACCAAATTTACTTCAAAGGCTAACAAAAAAAAAGGAAAAGACAGATGATTTATGGGTATTTATTTTAGCGTCATTATGCTGAAAGGAGTGTAAGAAGCCATCTGTAAAAAACATGAACAAACACTAAACCTCCTACAGAAAGAAGCCATATGTCTAAATGGCAGCATGAGTGACGTCTATGACTCTGCTAGTTTGATTGATCTCACTTCAGCTTATAAACCTGTGGAATCTCTTAACCATATTCAGAAGAGCTTCGGGTAACAACTCAAAAACTTTTAAAATATAAGAGATTAACTACCAAAGCATTTGCTAGCAACACAGACATTGGAGTTCATGTCTCTGACTTAGAGTGGTTCAGGCTAGCTCTATAGTAATGCTGCTATAGGCTTAAACTGCTGGAGGACATAAGGACCCCTTTTCCTCATTAAGCTACATTCTATCACTGTTCTCCCTTTCGCCAGTACTTTTTAGTTCAACCCCTAAAATCACGCTAAAGAGAAATTAAACCTGGCTGCTGCCATCATCACCTGTGAATATATTGATGGAGTGGGGCCTATTTTTCATTGCTTAGACATAGATATGGAGCGACAGGCATCTGATGCAGGAATTTACCCTACAACTGAAGGGTTGTTGGGTCAAGCCTCAGCTCCTGCTTTCAATGTCATAGTGTCTTTGGGTAAGACACTTCACACACATTGCATTTTATTTTTTATTTTTTGCATATTAATGGTGGCCGCAATGGAACTTGCAACCCTCGGTGTGAGGGTAAATGGATGAAAATACTGAATGTAGTGGACAGAGCTTTGGTCAAGTTTCCTGACTTGAAAAAGGGTAATACATTCATGCCATTTACCATGGACTAAACCTTTACTGTGAATAACTGTATGCTCTGGTAGTTCTGGATGAAATTTACAAAGGGGCCGAGGTGGGACCGGTGTGTTTTTTTATTGGGGTACAGGACAAAGGCATAACAAACACAGACCAAGAGCACATGGTTTAATAAAATATAGGAGCAAAAAAGGTTGCAAATCCCTGAATTACATGTAAAAACTGTGATTCCATCTTAATACAGCTGACTGTAATTTCTAAATAATTGTTAAATTAGGTACTTAAGGGAAAATATTGAATTAATCCATGGAATAAACCAGTAACAGTCTCTCTTGTCAGTGCACAGACTATAAGATTCTGCTTAGAGTTACACTGCAAAAACTGGTGTAAATAAGTAAAAATTTCTTAGGGAAGTGCATTTTCACTTAACTCTGGACTTTAAATAAGATCGTCTGTCAAAGGAATCATCATCTTTGCCTTTATGATAAGATAAGTAGATATGATGGACTTGAAATACAATAATAGATTTTTTTTGCCTTTTGTTAAACTAAAGTCATCTTATTGTACAGGAAAATTGTTTCAACTAACTGCCCAATTTAAGGGAAAATACACTTAATTATACTAAAATTAGAAATACTTGAATTTCAATTTTTGCAGTGTACGTTTTCAGTAAAGGGGCCATAGAATGGGCCAGGACCTGTGTTACAGGGGTGCTGAACCCTGTCTAGAACTACCCGTGCTTTCTTTTATTCCTTTGACATAAAAATGGCTCAGAGCTCATCCACCTGGCCACTTCTTCCTCACACAGAGCCACCCACTGAGCTAGTTTACTGATACTTTTCTAACATAGAAAGTATTTATAGATAATTTCCTAATTGTTCTATGTTCATATTGTATCTCTGCTTCTGTCTCCTTGAACCCCAGTCGGCCTCAGCAGATGGCCGCTCACACTGAGCCTGGTTCTGCTGGAGGTTTCTTCCTGTTAAAAGGGAGTTTTTCCTCTCCACTGTATCTGCATGCATGCTTGGGGTAAGGGATTGCTGATGAGTTAATGACAAAATACAAGCGATAATCTACTGTAGACACATGCTCATTCAGGAGGAGCGTCTCCTGGAAGTCAATGACTGGATGCAATCAACTAGTTTTCCTAGAATAGAAAACTTAACCAATCAGAAACGAGGATCTGATTGAATTGTCTCTGTAAAGTACTTGAGATCAAATGTGTTGTGATTTAGAGATATATAAATAAAATGAATACACTAAAAGAAAATGATTTCATCCTCTGTTAAACCAGGTTGGACTGTTCAGAGGACAGACACTTATCCCCAGAAGCATGTTGCTGTGGTCAGTATGGAGTTTTTTGTTACTTCTGACCACAGTGGACGCTGTGGAGGATGAAGATGTCCGAGCAGGTATGGCAGGAAGCTGTTACACGCTGCAGTTATAGAAACTGAAACACACTGGAGATTTGTTAAATGAAGCGTTTGCTTAATTTGATAGATTTTTCTTTTTTTATGTCCTTCTCTGTGTCCTCAGGGTGCAGCACGGCAGTAAATGACCTGGTGTATATCGTCGATGGTTCTTGGAGTGTTGGCATGGAGGACTTTGACACAGCCAAGCAATGGCTAATCAACATCAGCAGCCAGTTTGATATCAGCCTTTACTATACGCAGGTAAAGCTAGTCCCATTTTATTAGATATGGAAACTAAATCATGTAATTGACATATTTTTGCTTTGCAGCAATACAATCTGATGAGCTGTGAGAATTTAAGAACAAAAAATTGAGACTCATTTGAGATGAAACAAGATCTTGTCTAAGGTTCTACCAAGCTGAAGTGCAAAATTTGAAAACAAGATGCTTTGAATTGAAATAATTTGATGTGTTCCGTGCTGTAGGTGGCTGTGGTCCAGTACAGCGACACACCTCGATTGGAGATCCCCTTAGGGAGTCACTCCAGCGGAGCACAGCTCATCCAGGCCATACAAAGCATTAACTACATGGGAGGGAACACACAGGTAAGCTAGAAGGGTTGTTTATCCCCCCATTGATCCAATAACCTGTCATTTGTAGTGTTCTTCTTTGAAGGACAAGGAAGTATATATAATAGAATAGAATAGAATAGAATAGAATTGAATAGAAAAAAAAAGGATTTCTTTCAGTGATGGATTTCTTCTTCACCCCTCATTCATAAAGGCCAAATTAATTGATTACATAATTAATCTGTTAGTTATGCAATCACTAATCAATTTTAAATTATTGCACTAGAATTGCACAGCTTTAATTGGCTGCATAGAGAAGTACTTCTTCTAGCTTGATTCTGATTTTCTTTTTTGAGAGAACTTCATTTCCTTTGATTGTAGATTAAAGTTTCCTTTTTTATTGCTTATTTTTAGCTCTGGTTTGGTTTGCTTTGCAGCTGAAAGGTTTTTGATGATCATTTTTATTGTTTGGACATTTTCTCATGATTTGCAAACCAATGTTTGCTCATTGACTCATTAGCTCGTTAACATTTCAAAAGCTGAAATAATGCTTCAACTACTTCTGCAAGTCTCAGCTGAGTTGCTAAGGAGGGATTCAGAACAGGAGAAAGAAGAAGAGAGTGGATAAGAAATACAAACCATTACTTCCATCAATCCTGTAGGAATATGAGATCTTTAGGGAACAAGTAGAATCACTCAAAGCCCTAGCAAGGACCCAGCCAGAATATATAGTGGATGTAGTACTATGTGTTTCACTGAAACATGGCTGCAGGATAGTACTGCTGCTTTGTTTTAAAAATCAACTGTCCCACAGGCCTCCAGAGTTCCAAACCTGTCCGTTGAGGTTGATGGAGAAGTACGCTGTGTTCTTTGGTGAAGTTGTTCAGTAATAAAAAAGAAATTATTGAGGCCTTTACAGAAGATCTGAAGTTAAAGTGAGATTTAAAAAAAACGCACAGATTTTTCCTAAAAAAGTGACTTTTGAAGGAAAGCTTTCCTGGTGTCAAATACATGGACATAATTGTGTTCCACACCTTTCAGAACTTAATGAACAAAAAAAACTAACTAAAAACCATAGTATGTTATTTCAAAGATCGTCTGTAACTGATGTTTTTTTTTAAGGCTGATGTGTTTCAAATAGGAGATTTGAGCAGAGATGAGTTCTTGTTGATTTAATAAAAAACTGAGGCAGACATTCAAAAATGCAAAATACAAAGAACCAATTAACCAGAAAACATCAGGGAAAACTCAGGTGAGGAGCCAGAGACAAGGAAGCAACTAACAACAACAAGGAATCAGCACTGAGTGACTGCAGAGGTGGAGTATATAAGGGGAACAGGACAAAGGATGGGCTGATGAAAACTAAAAACTCAGAGTCCCAAAAGGGGAGAACCATGACATGATGTTGATATAGATTATTTTGATATCTGTTAAATCAATCCCCATTGAGTGCTTGCAATGTTTTTGGCTCAATTCTTAAAAAAAATACAACGATAAATCTTTATTCAACTACAAAGAAACTATTTATTAAAAAAACAAGTATGCATTAACAGTGGAAAACAAATAGTGGGATTTACAATGGATGTGCTTCATAATTTGTCAGGCATGGCTGCTGAATGCACAAATGAATCGGTAAACACATGAAATAAACCCACTAATATCTGACAAAAACATTTGCCACCTGATGTAATGTCACAAATTACCTTTCCTCGCACATCAAATTGTTTAAAATGCACTGGTTGTGATGTTTAAAGCTATGAAAAACTTAAAATGTAGTGTTTTTTTTAATAAAGTAAGTCACTTTAACAGTATTTCCTGATTTTTGTATGCAGACTGGCAGGGCCATCAAGTTTGCTGTGGACCACGTATTCCCAGCCTCCCAGCGGGCCAGCCAAGTCAAGAACAGAATCGCAGTGGTTGTCACCGACGGCAAATCACAGGATGATGTGGTAAATTCAGTGCTGCCTTTGTCTCCACAAAGTTTTTATTCACTCATGTTTCTGTGGGTCGGCCTGTATAATAGCTGCTGTGCAACATTGCCTGAAAAGTTCTTCCAAAATGGTTCTATGAACTAACTATAGCAATAAAACTACAGGATGATCAAACAGAACTTTTACACCTAAAGTTGCATTTGTTCCTCAGGTTGATGCAAGTATGGAGGCACGAGCTCAGGGTATTACCGTATTTGCTGTCGGAGTTGGGAGTGAGATCACCACCTCAGAACTGATATCTATCGCCAATAAGCCGTCGTCTACGTATGTCCTCTATGCTGAGGATTACACCACTATCGACCGCCTCAGAGACTCCATGGAGCAGAAACTGTGTGAAGGTTACAATACATTTTGTCTTTGTTTGATTTCACATGGCTAAAGCTTTTTATTCTCATGATATATCATTAGCATTTTAGACATTGATATTAATACGATATTTATAAGGCCATTTATTTAATCAGCATCACCATTTCAACATTTTTAACTAACATCCTTCTCTCCAGATACACTATATTGCCAAAAGTATTTGCTCACCTGCCTTGACTCACATACGAGCTCAAATGACATCCCGTTCCTAATCCATAGGGTTCAATATGACGTCGGTCCACCCTTTGCAGCTAGAACAGCTTCAACTCTTCTGGGAAGGCTGTCCACAAGGTTTAGGAGTGTGTTTATGGGAATTTTTGACCATTCTTCCCGAAGCCCATTTGTGAGGTCGCACCCTGATCTTGGACGAGAA